TGCGGGAGTTCCAGCATAGTTATCCTGGAACTCCCGTAAAATTTACGGGAGTTCAAGCATACTTATGCTGGAACTCCCGTAAAATTTGCGGGCGTATTTTTCCGGATTTTGAACAGTGTTTTCGCTCACATTTAAAGTGGCTAAATTTCGATGACTTTTGAAACTTGGCTATTTTTCAACGACCAGTGGTAAATCTGGCTATTTTTGAATTTCTCCCGAAATGGTATGACAACTGAATTATCAAATAGTAGCACAGAAACGAAATTAAAACATTTGAAAATTGTGTTTAAATTAAAACAAACTTGAAGTTTTAAATGTGAAGCTCTAAACAAGAGTAGCTTTATAAGCTACGTAGTAATTTGTCACATCACAAATTTCCAAGTAATTAATCTTGGTTAAATCAAATATGTGGATTATGTTTAATTTCCAGTAATTGTATGTAACGTGTCGGCAAAATTGGCGTTAATGTGTCCCCATATCTGAGACATAATTAAGCAGCTCTTGGAATTGATCACCAACATTCTCTCAAGAATCGTACTTGATTAGATTTTGTGTTTCAAATAAATTACTACTATCACTCAATAATAATTTCATCATTATCGTCATCTACAATTATGCATGATAGAATCTAAATGAGTCTGATTAATTTACCAAAAACCTAGACGGTTCCTTAACATTTCCTAGACATTTTCATTAATGCGTCGCAAACTATAGTTACACCTCTCTATAACAGCATCCCTATATAACAATATTTCACTATAAAAGTCAAGTTTTTCCGGAACCAATTTTCATGTTATGTTATAATATATGTTCTCTATAACAGCACTTTGCTATAACATCCAAAAATAATCGGAACAAACGAGGCTGTTATAGAAAGGTTTGACTGTATGACTTTTTTTCTATAATCTCTCTTCTTGAAAAGCCTGTCTCAGTTCAGCTTCAACACCCTCTGCACCTTGCACTTGGTCACACACATCACTTTGCACTTGCACAGTTGAAGAACTATAATTCTGACAAAAAAACTGTTAAAGTCGACTCATATATGTGGTATAGGTCAAGTATTGGGTAAACAGATGGGTTGAGTTTTAAAATTGTTCAGGATTTAAATTAGTGTTTAATGATATTTTCTTAAAATTAATTTTTGCCATGTCACTAAATTTACAAAATCCAGAAATAAATATTGAGTTTTAAAAGACAAAAGAAAAATTATATGATTTTGATAATCAATTACTCAAAGTTGAGTGTTCATCCGAGTCATTAACTCGAAAAAGTCCAGACGTTAGCTTTTCAATCTTATATATATCTTCTTCTTTTCTTAGGGTGATGTGCTTCATATTCTGATAATAAGATTTTTGTCAAAGAGTTTGATTTTTTATCTCATTAAGGTATGGAAGACCAAGCTAACATGATTAAACAGAAGGTAGAATACAATTATCACAAAATGATAGTTGATTGTAGAACACCAATAAAGAGAGTCATTTGATTTGCTCATTTATAAAATAGGTGATGGGGATAGAACTTTTAGGTAATTTTCGTATGTTTTAAGTCTGCAAACGAATTAAGAAATACACAAAGTAAAGGCAGAATACTTAGTTTATGTTCTAACCTTGAGATCAAATCCCTGTGACGCATCTTTCCTCTGCGGGCAATTCTTCACACACTTTAATATTTTTAAAGTGTGTCTAAAACACCTTTCCACATTTGACCACTTATGTTCAAAAGAGTGCAACATGTTCCAATCAGCACACAACATGTGTCATAAATCAAGAAAAAAAAAGGAAATTATTTGAAATTGTAACTACACCCAAATTGACAGTTTCTTTTCAATTTTTCATCTTCATTTCTTCCCCCATGGCTGCCCCCAACACCACCTCCATGGTTGCTGTCACGGGCGTGTTTTATATCACACTAAAATAGCCCGTGTGGCAGCCAAGTCTCGACTTGACTTCGGCCTGCTCCAACACTCGGCCAAAATTTCAGTAACTTTGGACTTAAAATAATTTAGGCAGCTTTTCAACGTAGTAAGTTAGGACTGATTTTAGGCAACGAAAAATAGATGAAGGGACAGAAAATAAAAGTGAACACAAGGCACAATATACAGGAAACTCTTTTTCCAACTTTGTATTTAACTCGAGCATACAAAGAAACTCAAACTCAAAGTACATCCGCGTACAAAAGAAGATCACCCTTGACCCTCACAAGACTACTCTTAGCCTTAGGTGTTTTCACTCTTGAAAACCAGACTTAGGACTCCTTCCTAACTCAATTATGCACTCTTACACGTTTTTCACTCATCCTCCAAAAGGAAAGGGTGCTGTCCATTTATAAAACATGAACTAACCCCATTTCTTACAATAGTTGCCCATTTTTTAGCTTAAACACTTGCCCACTCAGCCCACTACTTTAGCCTAGTGTAGTTGACAACCCCAACTACTAGGATCATGTAAATCATGCTAAAGAATAGTGGGATCATGGCCCCAAAACGTGCTAACACTCCTGACAGCTTTTAGGACAACGCCAACTGCTGCCCATGTGCACAGCATGTGCCATAACCGCCTTTGACTTAGTCAATCTGAAGCTTGGTGCCCATTTTCGTGCCTTGGCTTGGACCAAGCGCCAATGCCATTGTATCTAGCTGCATTGTGCCACAATTTGCCCATGCCATCGCCCACGAACTTGGCCCGTTTGCCTCAGCTCAATGTCATGACAAGTCTGCCCGCACAGTGCCTTCCCGCACTTTGGCTTGCCTTTGCCACTTCGTTTCCGCCTTGCCTTGGCATCACTGCCTCATGCCTTGATGCCTTTGCCATGATCAAGTGTCACTCTTAGCCAGCAACTCATTGTCAAGCCCTTGCCAAGCTACCTCGCCTCCGTCAAAGCCTTGGCCATCACTTGCCCGTTTCCCTTTTTGACTTGGTGCTACTCGTGCACCTGCCTTGCAACACTCTTGCTGCCTCATGACAACACTCTTGTTGTCAAGTCGAGCTCAAAGTGGCGGAGGTCTAACAGTTGCCGACATAGACATAACAATAGAAGAAAAAACCCAAAAAATCACTTTCAATCCATGAACGACATTAACCATCGCAAGAAAACGGCCTTATCAGCAGAAAAACAAAGGCTAGTAATGACCCCTTGACAAAAACTTTTATTCTTACTCCCTCCTAGTACTCGAGGTTTAATATTAATTCCTCTGGAAATAGAATGGATTAACATCACTGGTATAATGGTACTTTGAACACAGTGAGCTCAAAGTGACAGGTTGAGTTAAAACGAAGAGTCAGCAACTACTAATAAATACTATATTAACAAAATAAACTAACATTTGTTGGTCCAAGAAATCAATCAATCAGATGATTTGACATTCGAGCCGAAGCCAGCTGAGCGACGACGACGTGAGGCTTGCCTTCTTCTCAACTCTTTACGAGCTAGAGGAAGTGCATTTATATTTAGACCCAACTAATAAATATATTAATAAAAATACCTTGAGATTCATGTCAAATCAATAACTCAGTAGCGATCCAAAACGTTATAAGGGAAAGAACACCATATTTGTGTACAAAGAAGTCATGACATACCATGAGATACAAATCAAAATCATATTAATACAAGCATTAAATGAAAATAGAAACAACCAATTTGAGAAAATCCATAAGACTACAGAATGCCAACATGGGATAGATGTACAAACGGAGTACAAAACAGCACAACAAAGCAGAAATGCTACAACACCAATCATCGGTCCAACGACTAATAGCAGCAACTGGCACCTCACAACAATGAACAATCCAATATTAGCTGCAAGAGCACCAAAAATTTATTTAACCAACAGATAAAGTCATTCAAAAAAAATATAAAAAGATGATGTCTATCGAAATCGATCAATATCAAAAGAGATCATCCTTATTGCCATCATCAGCAAGAATTTATTGCTTCAAGATGCTAACATCAATTCGTTTCTGGGGCACACTTCGGGCCATTAAGACAAACATTTTACTGAATATATAAAGAATTTTACTTCAGAAAGTTTTCAAAGACAGACAACTAAGGTACTAAGCTAAATTATATATAAGCTAGTGAACCAACGGAAGTTATATCATGGGTGAAAAAAATAGCATCATTAGCTTAAGATTGTACCTGTGAGTCAGACTGGAAACGAATCGAAGGTTGCAAGCTTGCAGACACATTCGTTATTCTACTGCTGGATACAACAACAACAACAAATCCACTGTAATCCCATAAGTGGGGTCTGGGGAGGGTAGTGTGTTGTATAAGTCTTTATCCAGCCTACTGCTGGATAAAGACTTTGAAACCACATCTCTGCAACATTTCCACTTGTGTTTCTCTGATTTCCATGGCTGAGTCGACAACAGATTGGTTGCATGACTTTATCTCAATGTGTTGTAAATAATCCATGTCGCCAAATCGAGAAGGGATTTCGCGAAGATATGAACATCTATGCAAAACCAACCGCTCCAGGGGAGAAAAGGCTTCATCAGATGCTCTCCATTTCGAGAGATTGAGATTTTCAAGTTTCAAGAATTTGAGCTGAGGGAACTCATCATCTCTCACTTCCCATTCATTCCTTTCAAAATCAACTTGTTGCAGTTTAAGTACATAAAGGCTGGGAAGTTGTGCAATGGTCAAACTTCCAGCAAGTTCCAGAGGAAAATTGCACAATGACAACTTCTTAAGACTCAACGGGAAGTTTAATCCAGTCGGAATCATTTTCGGAATACTGAAGAAGAGCACCTTTAGTGTTTCAAGTTGTTGTAAAGAGTCTAAGACAGGGAATCGACTTCCGTTCTTTCCACGACCCCATGATTTGTCAAATATACATCTTAACTTTCGAAGATTGGGTGTTTTGCTCACTATCCTCTCCATATCTTCTGCACTAGAAATATATGGCGAGGAAAGCGTCGCCAAATTTTCCAATTTTGAGGGGCCCTTGTCAAGGAATTTCATTGCATTTTCGAACATAGCTATATCAATGTGTACATGTCTCAATCCAACTTCCAGAAAGTTTCTGGCAGTGACACCGCTTCCTTCATTCCTTTGACTTGAAATGTTTCTAGATTCCGAAGATTGTTTATAGATGATGGGATAGAATTCTTAGCAGTTCGAACAGCAAAGTATCTTAGATTTCTAAGTTCTGTCGGGAAAGAATCCACAACAACAAACTCCAAATCCAATACCCTAAGAAACTTGAAGCTACCAAATAAGTCTGATGCATTTTTCATGACAGAAAATCTATTCTCACTGACCTCCCTGAATAAAATCGACCAAGCATACGAGCATGATGCGCTCCACCTAGCTATCCTATCCCGATCAGAGTTAGATGATAAGCCTTGTTGCTTTGCCTTTTTAGAGTAAAAGCGTGGAGGATCATCATCATCATCTCTGAAAATTGGAAAATTAAGTAGGATAAGAAGCAAGTGCAAAAGTCTGCATTTAACCAAATAATTAGAGAACAATAGAGAGTTAAATACCTTTTTAGCCACAAAAGGAAGTTTTCTTCCACAGCTTTTTCCTTACAGAAGTCGAGCACTAGGTCATGTACACGACATGCCTTGATCTTTCCAATGGATCTCTTCTTAGTAACAATGACCAAGTTTCTTCTGATAAGATCCTCGAAGTAATCTTCTGCAATGTCCTCCAAATCCTTGTCGTCGTCATCTTCAATGAAATCCTCGGCAATCCATAACCTTGTTAGTTTTGAGACTAAAATTTCCCTATCCTCTAAAAATGCTCCGAAATATAAGAGGCATGATTTCAGCTTATTAGGTAAATTGTAGTAACTTAGTTGTACTAAATCCTTTGTGCCATCCTGGATTTGTGCACCTAAACTTGCTTCCAACATTGTTCTTCCTTACCCATCCTTGCAAGGAGACCAGCCACTAAAACAACCGAAAGAGGTAGCCCTTTACACTTTTTTGCTATTTCTTGCCCAACTTGCTTTAGCTCTTCAGGGCAATTTTCTTCCCCAAACACCTTTCTTTGCAATAAGGACCAACTTTCATCATTATTAAACAAACGTAGATCATGGGGATCAGTGTAACGTGCAGCGTAAAGAGAAACTTCCCACAGTCTGGTGGTCAGAATGATTCTACTACCGTTATCATCAGGAAAGCACAATCTTAGATCATTCCATGCATCTTTCTCCCACACATCGTCAATAATCAAAAGATATCTTCTTCTCATTAATGTTTGTTTTAGCCTAGAAGCTAATTCACTTTCACCTTCTTTACTAAGATCAATAGGCTCATGAGTAGCATCACTCAATATGGAAAGTAGCAAGTCTTTACGTGTGTATACCTGAGAAACACGACACTCACCTCGGAAATTGAAATGGGAGACAATTGACTGATCATTCATAAAACTTCTGGCCAAGGTCGTTTTTCCTAATCCAGGCATACCAACTATGGAGATAATGTCTAGCTGGCGTGGTCCTCCAACTAGTTGGCCTCTAATGGTTTCCTTCACATCCTTAAAGCCCACAGGTTCTTCGTCATTGGTTGCAGGGGAAATTATTGTTATTTCCTTCTTCTCGGGCTTAGGCAACTCTGTCTTAACAATCTTAATCTTCTCTGTCATCACTGAGAGCCATATTTTAAGATACGACAGAGGAATATCTCTAACTTCCAAAGAATCTATTGTATCCTCCAACTCATGTGCATTATCAATGACTCTTGCAGCTATATCTTGAATTTCATCATACTTATTATTGCTTTGTTCTGCTGCACCCTTGAGTAAAGGTTGGAGAAATTCAAGCTCCTCATGGACCAGTTCGAGTTGGTTCTTCACCGAAGCAAGTGAATCAGCAGGGAAACAAAATGAGTGCCTTTAAGCTGTCCAGCAGGAAATTGATAGAGCCTAATGAATCGTTTTTAGGCAAATGGGATTGTACCCACTCCCGGATATCACGGTTCACCTGTGTCTTGACAAGCTGAACTGTGTCAGCTAAAACAATCAGTTCTTGGTTCTGATGTTCCTTGTCCTTGCTGCTGTCATACAATGAATAAACGACAAGTCCAGCATTGACGGCCACATTCTCAAGTCGTGTGAAGAAACGGTTCCTCATCTCATCCTGAATGCTGTTAATCAATGACAATTCATTGAGAATAATTCTCGATGACTTAAGCTGATCCGGAAGGGTTTCGGTTTGGTCCTTGGCCAAAGAAAAAAGTGTTGTCAATAACATGGTACGACTGCCTGATAATCTTATGTTTAGCAGGACGTCAGCGTAGATATCGCGGACCCGTGGCTCAGTAGGCTCAATCCTTTTCTGCAGCAAATCAATAAGCGAATTAGCAATTTCAAGAGCCACGGATTTGTCCTCGTTGGAATCAGGCAAATAGAAGAAGCAAACAGTTGCAGTGTTGGTTGCCACAACTTCAGCATGAGAGAGGAAAGCTTTCCAGCAGCTTTCGAGTTCTGGGCTATATATTGTTCCCAGAAAACAAACAAACTTCTTAAGTACTGTCAACTCATATGCAACCAGTTTCATTTGATCCTTGACTTGAAAATATATGGTCTCTGAATCATCAGGCACAGCAAGCAGCTCGCCAAGTCGAGCAATCAGCAGATCCCAAAGATTCCGTACAACATTGTTTATGAATTCCACCACAAGTTCGTGGGTGAGAGGACTAGCACTTGGAATTTCTGGATACGAATAATAACCTCTGATATCTGGCTTGGAAAACCGAATCTTTTGTAGCACATCAGAGGTTATGGTGTCAAGTTGATCAGGCTCGTCTTTTCTACGCCATATGCTCTCAAAGAGGTTGTGCAGATCATCTCCAATACTTTTCATCAATGGTTTGATATGTTTTTGCAGGGCCATAAGCTTCTTTCGATTCTGCTTTCTCTTCCAGTCAAGAAATGTTTTCAGAAACCATAGTTCTGTTTTAATGGCCTTAATCCGATCCCTTTGGGAAGCTGTCAACTCACGCTTATTTTCAATCCTTTGGAGAGCGAGTAGAGAATCATGAATATCAGTGGCAACAGATGACATATTTTTTCAGCAATTTCTTTTGTTTTTGAGATTGTTTCTCAACTGGAAATCCAAAGGAAAGAAGTAGAGTTAGCTTCAGAAGTTAAGTAATCCATTAAACAAAAAAGTCTACCAACTTGCAAAGACGTGCGTGGGCGGGTGGGGTGTCTTTGTCTGAATACTTCGCAAGAAATCATATTATCAATTGAAATTTATTCTGCAGAAAACACGATACTTGGATTTCTAAATCAATCTATTCAATCGCAGCAGAAAGTTAGCATGTTAAATCAAGGCTGCATCACCCAAAATGGTTAATGAAACAGTAAAAGATACAAAACTGGTTGACACAAAATACAATGGGCTGCCCATTTATGCAGTCTGTGGATATAGAAGTTGGAATATCATCATTCTAGGGTGATTTGCACAATAGGATCATTCCTCACTGTTGTTTATATTTTACCCCCATATAAGAAATTTGTGCAAAAATAGCATCGAGGCATAACTTTGGCACACAAGTCTTGTCGGATTGACAAAATTTGTCCTGATAACAAGTTATGCGGGTTGGGGCATAACTTTGGTACAGATTGTTCACAAGTTTTGCCGGATCGACAAAACTTGCATGTGTTGTTCAATTGTTCACAAATTTTTCCGGACTGGTAAGAGTTGGTATTATTTTCATTCTATCTATATTCTTAAACTGTTCAAGAATCTTGTTGGATTAATAGAGTTGCTTGTGTTGTTCAATTTAAAAGTTTTGCTATACTGGCAAGTCTTGATACATTTTCTTGCTACTTATCTTGTTAAAAGCTTAGAAGTCTTACTGAATTGGCGAATCTTGTCAGTATTGTTCATGCTCTACGTATTCCATGACAGTGAAAATCTTGGTTATGGTTGCCATGATTTCTTCGAATTCAACAATATTTCGCTAATGGCAAAGATTTGTTGCATGGAAAACTTTGGCAAACATGCCTTTTTTCCCAATTGTTCCCAGTTTATTACACTATCTTGCAAAAGTTTTGAATCAGGAAGGAAGTTATTTATACCCCTCACTGGTACCTTTTATTTGAAAATGGCTACAGAATTTGCAGAATCAACTCCGTTATCTGCGAGATTACAAAAGTAATTCCTTTAAGATTAGGCTCTCTGGAAACTTGTTGGAAAATATGATATCAAAAAGGTATATGAATGGAGAGCACAAACAAGGAGAAGGAGGAGAAGGATGAAGAAGTATGTCCTTACGTCTATATTTGCAGAACGTATAAAAACAAGGACAAACTTTAAGCACCAGCCTCTAAAAGGGACATCCAATTAAATTTTTTGACCATTTCTACTATAGACAGACACTCAAACTTGGCACCAACTTCCATTTTGACACTGAAACCTACCCAGTGAGTCAGTGACCAACTAGGCACTTTAACTTGACACTTAAACTTACCCAGAGACCAATAAAAAAAGAACCGTCAGCAAAGAGAAGAAAAAAAAATTATATGTCAACAAAGAAAACCACACTTCATTAGTTCTTGTTCTTTGCATGATTGAAATGTGCCCGGAAAGCCGCTGCCACTAGGATGCAATATGGAGTTTCACGCAAAATACATTCATGACTTACAAGAAATATTCATTTCCTCCAATATGATTTTCCAGTAGATCTATGCAGATATATGATGAGAAAAAGTTACGACAGACAGCAAAAAAAAAATGAGGCACCGATTTCAGTATGCAATCACAAATGAGAAATTAAAGCTGCAAATAGTGCAAGCAAAAGATAAATGTACCTCCAAGTTTGAGACTGAAGATTCTTGATGATCAGAGAAGCTTGAAATTGGATCTTTATAGCTTGAACTCAGTAACTCTTTTCCCTCGGTGCTCCAACAACTTCCCAACGTTAGTCAACATATATAGCGGCTTCCCTATACCAGCAAGATATCATACTTTCAGATCTTGGATAACAAAATATAACCATTCATCAACATTGGGCAAACAAATAAAAATTAAGTTCATAATTGATTACATTCCTAATTTTACACTTAATGGAGTTCTAAATCCGAATCATTCATATGTCAGTCTAAAAGATAAGTCCAATTACTTCTTTTCTTCACAATCACTTATTAGCTCTTAATATGTTTGAATCATTCAAATCATGTATAGAGTTCTACTATTATTAAGAATCACCTCCACCGCCAGCCGCCCCCCACAACCAGTCACCACCAGCTTCCTTTACAACCGTCAGGCATTACCACCAACCACCTCTATCACCGACGGCACCACTACACAACCACCAACTATCTCCACCATCAGCTTCCACACAACCACCAGCACGCCTAGCAGTTTACCACTTGTCACCACAACAAAATTGTATCTACCACCTACCTCCAACGCATAATCACCAGACGATAATCCTCACCACTAATCACCACCATTGCCAATCACCACATCCATCACGTCTGGGCTACGATCGCAGAACCACCATTGGCTACCACTATACAACTACCACTGCCGACCTCCTCCATACAACCACCACCACCACTGGCCACCGCCCACACCTTTCGCTTTTGGGCTATCATCACATAACCACCATTGGCTAACACTGCAAACTACTACCAACCTCCTCCATACAAACAGTACTGTTAACCACCAGCAACCAACCAACTATTATCGTTGACCACCACCGCTAGCTTTTACGAGTGTGGCTCATCTGGGCTAAACGGTCCCGGCGGGCCGGTCCTGGTGGGCCGGTCCCTGATGGTGTAGAAAGCCCGTGGCGGGCTGGTCCCTTGCATGAGGCCCACAAGACCGGGACCGCTAAGCCCGGGACCGGCAGGCGGTCCTGGGCCGGTCCAACCGGGCCTAACGGTCCAAACGGGCTCCAGCGGCTCTTTTCTAAAAAAAAAAATTTTTTTTTATTAAAAAGACCAACGGTCAGATTTTAAAATCTAGCCGTTGGCCTTTAATTTTCAACCGTTTGGAACTTTAAAAAATAGCTATTTGGCCCCCAAACTTTATTTTAACCCCAAACTTTATATAATTACACTTTTTTCCAATTCTCAACTATAAATACCCCCTCATTCTTTCATTTTTACTCACCGATTCATCAATCTATCTCAATCTCTCTCAATTTCTCTCAATCTATATCTAATTTCTCTTCTATAATTGCTTCTTTTATTATTGCAATTTCGTGAAAAATTGTGAAGTTGGTGAATTGAAGTATTCAAGTCTTCAAGTCTTCAACGATTTTCAATTTTCAAGAAGTTGTTCGGCAATTCGGTAAACTCGTTCCAACTCTTAAGTTTTAAAAATATATTTTTGTGTGTTTAGTTTGCATAATTGTAATTAATATGGCATTTTCTTTGAAAAAAATGTTTGGCGGTACGGGTAGTTTGGCTAGGCACATACAAACACCCCCTAGAGATAAAGTTAAATATTTACAAATGAAAGCGCAGCAAGAGGGGACAAGTGTAGATACTGCGGTTAACCCTAGTACAGGTTCAAATCTAGTTCAACCAGGAATTAACACTGTGACCGGTGGTATTTTATATTACGATCCTAATAAAGATCGTGAAGAATTAGCAAAGATGGTTACCATTATGTGCTTACCATATAC